ATAAACCCAAAAACAGTACAAAAATATCAACAATATGAAGGCCTCCACATTTAACTGGTAGAAATGAATACGGCTGTTTACACGACGTGTTAAGTAGAGAAGCAGAAGTGCTTTAACACTAGTTGGGTGTAGTGATAATTTCAGTGACACAATGTGGGCGAGTCACAAAGAGTGACATAGAAGACAGAGGTAAAGCTGCCGGAACGATTACGAGAACAGCTTATTAGGAGGCGGAACGAGTGTGATGCGTGATACTTATATTGAAAGATATGAATTGTATGTAACAATGATCAGAATTGGAAAGTTTGCCGAAAGTAGATTGACAAAATTGAATTGAGGGGAAAAGAAGGGAAATCGTGAGCAATTAAGAAGTAAACGGTTCATATAGAATGTAAAGGACAATTGATGAAAAACGTGAAAATAAAATATAACTATTCTATGATTTGTACATCTGTGTAATTATGTGAACTAGAAAATGCTACGTTATCTTCTTTCTCAGAAACTGTTCTCTCATCTATATCATCACAATTCTCCACGAAGACGATTACAACAAGTTATTTCACTTTACCAAAATTTGGATTTTTTTCGGCCTCCAGAAATCTCTTGTTCCACTAGTACTACAATTCTCTCAAAATATAGCGCATACGACCAGGCGCATACGACACCAATCTAAGCATATCTAGAACTCACACGGTTGATAAGGGTGCTCTCGATATTTTTACAATACACCCTTTTTTAAACGTATTACTTATTAACGCACGTTCATTTCTCAATAAGATTTCAGCCTCGAGAATTTTAGCTTTCCTAGCAAAGCCTTCTTTTATACTTATCACTGAAACATGGTGCTATCCAGCATTATCCATTTCGGAATTAAATATCCAGAATTTCACCGTCAAGAACTATCGTCTCCATGAATGAAGAGCTATTAGAACGTTTAAAACCTAATTCTCCTTTTCAGTAAACGTGCTAAATCAACTCAATATATTGACATACCATGCATCCTGCATAATAACAGTTTTAGATACGACTCTAAAATTATGGCAGACCTTTTCAGTGATAATTTTGCAAACGGCAAAGAATCTATAAAAGGCACTGTTTCAAGAGTTATATGCGTGAGTAGAAACTCAATAAAATCTATTTTCTTCACAGGCCTGAAAATTAGTAAGGCCTTCAATAGCCTCAAGGTTTCGGGAGCTCAGAGAGCAGACGGGATTTCATTAATTCTCTACAAGTATTGTGGTGCAGCTATTCCACTTCTTCTACTTAAGCTGTTTACTCTCTCTATGGAATCAGGTTCTTACACTGACTGTTGGAAAACCGCGTACATCATACCACTTTACAAATCTGGAGATAAGAATGACATCAACATCTATTGGTCGATAAATATTACACCAGTTATCTCCGGGATTATGGAGAAAAATTTGGTGACGAACTATCCAAATATTCAATGACAGAAAAATTTATCGCTGATACGCAACATGGATTTCTTAAAAATCGATCTTGTATGACATGTCACTATGATTTCCCTAATTTAGTTTATCCTCTTCTTAGTCAAGGGTATCTAGTATTAGTGCTATATCTGGACATTTCCAAAGCCTTCGACATGGTCAACCACCGACTTCTCATAGGTAAACTCTCATCTTATGGGGTCCAAAACCCTTTGCTTGTTTGGTTTGATTCCTTCCTCAGCAACCGACATCAAACAGTTAAAATCAACTCTTCATTGTCGAACGCTGTCCTTGTTAGAAATAGTGTAATACAAGGTAGTGTCTTAAGCCCTTTTGCTCTTTATAGATTTTATCAATTATATTGGTGAGTGCTTTTGTGTTGGTATATTCCTTATGTACGCAGATGAAGTCGAAACCTTTTTAACAATGAACTACGTATTTTAATGTACAAAGTTTGTGTTCGACCACTCCTTGAATACTGCGCATTTACTCTTAGTAGTGAGCATATAAAGGATAAATTAAGGCTGGAATCAGTACAGAGACGAGTTGCACTTCGCATCCACGGAACTGATTGTACCATGACTTATAATTCTAGGTGTAATAATCTTGAGGCCGATCCTTTATGGAAGATGAGACTCAAAGTGAATGATAGGAACTTTAAATGTTTAATCACTTACTTGCTGTCACTTTTCACTAAAAATGTCCATAGCAACTTTGATTTATTCGAATAATATCTATCATGAACAGTGGTAAACCTGACCGACATATTTTGGCAATCATTGTTTTGTTGTTCCGCGTTCTCTGTTTCAATTTTACTTTCTCCAGTTGTAGATAATTATCAATAATTCGTCCACATACTGGAAATAACCTTGAAGGACACCGCTCATAAATCATCAGGCTATCCACTTAGGAGAAAATAAAAGTTCCCTGCTGATGCATTGGATTGCCGTGATCCATGTCATAAATAAACTACTTTACAATTACTAAACTAGCGAACATTAAATAATCATATCTCATGTTTGTTCTCTACATCAAATGATGCTATTTATATCAAACTGATCATGTCTGTAAACTGTTTTGAATTCTGTAATTATTATTTTCAGAATATATTATTGTTGTAACTGTGTAAATATTTCTCACCTTCTACGAAACGGATATGATGCACATATACCGGGAATCATGTCCAAATTATACAACCTATTACTCGCACGGAAATATTGTAACTACCTCGTCAAGCATTGAACTTAATTCTCATTAGTTCTAGTTTGTACATTTTCACTATTTATCATTCATGAAAGTGTACTCATTATCACACAGTGATTGGTTTCTCAGAATCACAGAATTTTGTCAGCTAGTTTTTCGACAACATAAGAATGATGTTGATTCGAGAGTCAAATGCGAAGTAAACGGAAGCGACTGTAAAACTAGATAATGAACGGTTAACATTGTACACCATCATGAATGAATTGTCATTGAAAATACACAAAATATAAATGAAATGATAATGTCAGTCTCTTGGTGCCAACTACTGAATCACTTCTCCTCCAGGGTTTTCCATTTTCATATTTCCTGAATTGGCCACAGTGACCTCATAAAAAAAGGCTAGACTCTTACTTCATATTTGAAATCCGAACGTATTGAAGACCATTTTCTTCATGGATATGATAATTACAAAACTCAACAAGAGAAGCGACATGGGCTTTCAGTTTGGTTTTGTCACTACCATTCACAGTTTTTATGAGTGTATTAACATCGGCTCACAAAAACAATTCATGATTTATGTTAAAAAGGTCTTGTGGATTCAAAATCTTTCAGTAACATTGGTCAATGAAGAATACAATACTGAGTGCTGCTGTTCCCGAAAATAGCATATTTCAGACAGTTTAAGTTAATCTTCCTACAGACGAATGGTTTTCGCATAGCAGGGAATTAAACTAATGAATATGATGTACATTTCTTCGAACCACAGACCAGTAACCTTCTCTGACTTTGAAATTGATGAGTGACGAACAATGGTTGATAAAACATTGCGGAAAACGTTGGAAGTTCAACGACCAAAACATCCGGTTCAGCAAACGAAATTCCATCCAAATCACTCACCTGAGCTACAAATATTCTCCACTATTCCACAACAATATTGTTTTCTAATAGATTCTCATGTATATACGAAATTATTAAACCATTCAAGGCAGTTTATGATCCAGTGATAACAGTGGAGTAGATTACATTAATAAAGATGTTAATTAAAGAGTACAAATTGATAGTGTGATAATAGATATACTAGTTGTGGTAAGTCATGTATCCATGTTTCATGATGGGAATAAGACCAATAATTATAACAATATAGACACTGAAATAACATTCATTAAAATTATAAGAAGCGTTTAGATAATTGTACCGTGAAGCGCATATTTAAGAAGTGAATATATAGGTGTGAGGGAGCGACGAAAAACAAACTCACAAAGCATATAAAAAATAATAATAATAAAAGAACTCATTTATTAAAGCCAAGGGGTAAATGAAGGTGTTACAAATTTTGTATGAATACAAAGACTTGAGAAATCGCCATGGATCAAAAAGTCGAGTGTTATAGACAGACGTTAGCTGCACTGAACATTCTCCTAAATGCTCCAGTCAGTCTCTCTTGCGGAATTCAAAACCAGGACCTATCTATCTCACGCCTGAACGACTTACCTCTATAACACTGAGCCGGCATTCGACGGTGTAGTGTCAAACTTCAAACAATCCACGAAATCACATCACCATCCATTTCTGACTTCAGTTAGTTAACAGCAGCTTATGTAAGTTTGAGTTTGTTCACATTTAGTTTGGTTAAGCCTTTTTGCTAACTTATTTAACGGACAGAGTCAATCTTACATTAGAAACCTATCTATACTATTGTAACTTCATTATTGTTGCGCTTGAACACTGCCTATAGCCTACGCACATAGTCTGCTAGCTTTAATATTAGTCGCTTCATTGATTCAGCGGTTCGTTCATTTCCCTATGTTTATATATATATATATATATATGAACACGATCGTCTTCTGATTTATTTACCATTGAAAACATTATCTAGTAATGGCTATCACGGCGAATCGTTTACGAAGTTTAAGGATTATATCAAATATCAAGCACTACAAGTTAACATCTCACAAGGAACCCGGTTGAATGAATTATCGTGTTTGATGATTTATTATCATTAGAAAATATTTTACTACTCAGCAATGTTTCTAACCAAAATATAGGCGATTTTATGACTACAGAATAAAACAGATGAAAAGAAATCTATTGCACAAGCAAGTGACTATAAGGACTCATTGGCCTAATTGATAACGCGATGGCGTTTGAAGCGAACGGTACTGGGTTCGAGTTACACATGAACATCAACTCTGAGATTCAGATACATCCAGAAGACAAGTCAAAAATTGGACGAAACCTGCATCAAACTGGATTCCACTGCCAGCAACTATACATCTTTGCTAATAATTTGAACAGTTGCAAAATCTGTCAAACATACACAATGTTAATTTGACGAAAAAACACTCGAAGTAAATGAACAATGACAGTTTTCAATTTTTCAATTAACAAAAGCGTTAACAGATTATTTAATAAAACAGTTTGAGAACAATATTTTGTTTGGGTATTGATTCATGCATTATTCTGGTTTCCTATAAGGAAAAACTGTCGACAGTGCACTCTGCAAAAAACAATATTTGAATATGTTTACTATAAGACAATTGAATTCTTTTTTGTGTTCGAATTACCAAACACCTCGAACTAATTTAAGGCTGACGTACATTGTACAAAACGCATTACATTTGTAACTTCACCTGAAGCCCCTCTGGAGTTACTGCGTGTCGTAAGCTCAGATAAGGGATGAAGACTAAGCATGAAGTTAGAGATCCCATTTCATAAAAAACTAACACGCTTAAATAACGCCAATCAGAAAAAAATTATTCAAACCACTGAAAATCTGTTTTGGTTGTTAGAAGGTCTTCATTTAGAAGAGTTATGACGTCTCATGTTGAAAGGTGAGTTCCTTCGGTATTCACGAAGCTGATGCCCTTTCTGACAACCACTGCATTAAGTTTGTGACATTTAAAAACATTTGTTGCTTATTAGTATGAATGCTGTTACCTTATCAACATCATGTTAGGTGGAGTCTTTTATCACTTGTCTACTTAAGATATAATGTTTGTGAATAAAGTTTCATGCAATGTACTATGAAAAGTAGAATGTTCATCTTCCAATATTAATATGAGCACATGCTGCACTATCAAGTATTCGATGATGTGATGGATGACTAGTTAATGTACGTTGAAATATTTTCTATTAGTCCATACTGAACACGAATAGTTGAAAACACATTCGATACGCTATGTTATTTTATCTGCATAATCATATAATCTATTGAGTTTCACTAACTAGAATTCTAGAGTTGTTTCAAAGAAGATCAACTTAAGCTTTATGGAGAAACAGCTAGTCGTGAAGATTTTTGTAACCACTTGTAAACAACCAAAAATACATCAGTGACACCTACCACTAACGTAAATGAGAAGTTCAGAAAAGATCAGATGAACTTGTGGGACCTACTGAGTTGATAGATATCATAAACCCATCACAATGGGTTTCAAGAGCGACGAAAAGTCTCAGAGACTCCAAGTAATCTTAGAAGATGAAATAACTTATATTAGCTCTCGGGCTAATAACTAAAACATCTGGAGGAAAGATCTGATTGAGCTCCACCCATCCTCTGATTACCTGTTAATTCCAAACAATCTGGATCGAGAATGCACATAGACTGCTCAACTCTCAGTAAGTCTGAATTATCTGACGCGTCAAAAAAGCAAGAGAGCAGTAAGCTCGTCTGTATTAACATTGGTGGTGATACAGTTTCAGAAGTAAGCTGACATAGTCACAGGCAGACCTTTGATAACCTGACATTATCTTATCTGTTTTCCTTCGATAGCTGACCGTGACACTTTAACGTCAGATTGGCTATCCTCTCATAATTAACACAGAAAAATCAGTTTGACTAGTACAGGAACGAAAATACAAGACTCGGTATCTGTGCAGTGACAAACTTTTGGTTTTGATAAACAAATTCTGAGAGCTTAGACTGGTTTCAGACCTGGATGTGAATGTATTAACTAAGATTTTGACATGACTTCCGATCCTCAACTCTTTATCTTTCTCTGCATTTCGAATTTCAGTAATCCTCCATTCAAAACGTGTCAACTTCACCATTTAAAAGCATATTCTCAACGTGTAATTTTTCTTGACTGTCATTACTAATATATTGCTTCAATCCATTTTATTTATTTCATCTCTCAATGAGAGTATGGTTTGGCGACATGCACCATTACATATTGACATCAGGGTCCAAGTTGGTGATAGTTGAATGAACGTTGTCGTACATTCTCAAGAAGAATTGTGAAAGAATCCTTACATTTTTCACTTCACAGTCATTTGTATTTGTACGATATGATTTGAGTGAACAAAGTAGTGTCTGATTTTAAGTCGGTGCAATCCGAGAAATCTACTGTTCTGGAAATAGATACATTCATTACACTAACGATTTACGGACCTACATACATTCATTCTATTTACGTTTTATTCCAAGAACAACATCAACACAACCTGTACACTGAACAAACAACAATTGATGATGATTACACTGAATGGAAAACATTAACATGGTGATCACGTACACTTTTCGGTTGCTAAATTGAGTTTACTGAAATAAAAGAAAAACAATCATATTATTCGCAATGATTCGTAAATAGGACAGTTACAATTACGTGTTCATTTCCACATTACGTAATAGAATCACCAGTGAAAATGTACTTACATTCTACTTGTAGTATACTTTCGTACATTTGTATTCTTTCTTTCGATGAAAGTACTTGATAAATTAGTCAATTAATATGAGACAATTACATCGACTTACATTCAAGGACATCTATTCTTCGAATTTCCAGATTTTTCAATATTTCAAGGTGATCATCTTTGCAACCATTGAGAACAAAAATTGATCAAAAATGTTACTCAGAAACTAACAGACTTGGACTATAAGTGTATAAAGTAATAAATTAACCAATTCATGAAACATAATTTTAAGGGATAATCAATGATTGAGTGTTTTAAAAGGGATTTTGTTGAGTAAAAGTTTCAAATTGCTTTCAAGAACAAGAACGCGATGGTATTTGAAGAGTTGGGTGTTGGGTTTGGGATTCAGTGTGAACATCATCTACGAGATGCAGATACATTCAGCCAAAGAGCCTCTAATAGAATGAAACACGCATCAAACTGGATTCCACTGTTAGCCATTATCAATCTTTGCTTATACTCTGATGATACTATTTTGTTCAAACATTTTAGAATCGCATACTGATTTCATTATCTCATTGAAAAATAGAATGCTGAATACAGACAACAATTGACCGTTGTATTGTGGTGTGATCTACTTATATCCATATAAGTAGTATATAGTGTTGGTCAGACATAGAATGTATTTTGGCAGAAGACCGATGACGAAAGAACTTAAACGAAGCGCAATCGGTAGGAAAATGCACGAACAATGGAATTAGAGAAGAAACAGAGAAGATTGAAACAATTGGTTGTTAATTTGCAAATTGACTGTACTTTGTATGGTTTTCAGAATTTACTGAGATAGTCTGTAATTTTTGCTTAAATACATTCGATTGTCCCCAACCAGTGTTCTGTTCACTACAGTATCAACTATTGACTTTAAACGATAAACACGTTTCACTGGTTTTATTTGTAGAAACTTACTTAACGCTTTGTGAAATTTATCGGTGGTATCAAGGTTCTTTTCGTCTGCAGCTTTAAACACCGGACTTGCTATAAGTTAAAATCAAATTACACATAGTTTGTTATGACGCTTGTTATATTACTCAATGAGACTTTAATTTATGAACGACCTTTGAGAGAAGCTAGATTTGCCCTAAGAGTATCTACCTAATGACTAAAATCGAATTACAGTATTAAACGTTTGTGAGAAATAATAGTTATGATTTACAGTTGATAAATAAGGTTAGAAATCAGATAACAGTTTTCATCAAGAATTCTTAGCAGCTATTATAAGATGGTGATTTGTAGATCAGGTCGATGGATTTGTTGGAGCTTGTTTCTCTGAGCTGGATGTCTTTTTTGTGGATCTTTCATCGTTCTACTGATTGATATAATCAGCACAAAGTTTAGGTAGTTTTCTATCATCAAAATAATCCATTATGTCAAAACTTTACTTAGCCAAATGTATGAGTGAACATCACTCCGAAATACGAGACCTGTTATATTGTAGGTGATTTCTTCTTTCAGAAATTATAGTCTCGCCGAAGAAAAATTATTTCATTTCTCAATTCAATAATTATTACTTACCAAAACGTAAGTTATCAAGGACTTCATTGAAATTCTTCTGAGAATTTTCTAATTTCTCTAATGTGATATATATTCAGATGTGCCGTACAGTGTAAAAGAATGAAATTTGTAAGGTTGTTGAATTTCAATTGGTGTCATTATATGCATGAATGTTAGACAAACATTAAAAACATTGAAAATCTGAACGCTCTTTTCATCCCACTACGAAACTCCTCAGTATTGCGCATCTACGATCCCACACGCGGGAGTACCATTACTTACTTACTTTCTTACTTACTTACGCCTGTTACCCCTCGTCGAGGAGCATGGGCCGCTCACCAGCATTCTCCATCCAACTCTGTCCTGAGCCTTCCTTTCCAGTTCTTTCCAGTTGCTATTCATCCTTTTCATATCGGCTTCTATTTCCCGGCGTAGTGTGTTCTTTGGCCTTCCACTCTTCCGCTTCCCTTCCGGATTCCAAGTTAGGGATTGAGTCGTGATGCACATTGGTGATTTCCTCAATGTATGTACGATCCACTTCCAACGTCTTTTCCTAATTTCCTCTTCAGCTGGAAGCTGATTTGTCCTCTCCCATAAAACGCGGGAGTACCATACTGTTGCTAGAAGAATGTTCAATGCTTTCAGGCTTGCAGTGTCGGTTCAATATTTATTCAATTCAACAAATTGGATGATTCTTTTCCTTTCTTACATGAACTCACTATGCATATATGATAAATAGAGTGTTAAACAATAATATGATAACCAATCATCTAATAAAATCAGTATTCACCTTCCAAGGCATTTATTCCATTTATAAGATCTTCTATTTCACGTTCTAAAATACCTCGTTTGTTTGAATCTAATAAACAAAGAATAAATGTTAACATATTCAGACATAAAGCAGTTGTTTAAATGAATGTAATTGTATGAAGACATTTGGCTGATTTTCAACATACCTGATGTGTTTCTAGCTTCTTTTTCAGTTTGTACTAAATCCCCTAAAATAATGATAACACACGATGGATACTCACCTGACCAATATGTAATACGTTGGATAGTCATTATCAATTCCAATAAAACTAACCTTATTACTTATAGAAACAACTAGATCAGTCGCACATATTATTGAAATTCGCATCATATGTTTTCAACACCAAGGTTAGACTTGATAGTTTATTATTACATCATATGTGTAATTTATTTCATTAATAATGTAATAATGTATTCGAATCTCGCGTGGTGAGATCGTGAATATGCACAGACGAGAAGTCTTGTACTAAGATGAAACAGCCTTCCAGTGCTGCGAGGTTTCCCCTGGTGTTTCAACTTCAAGTGACTCATGAATTCAAATATTACACTATTACATTATTCAAACGTGAATGCATTTAAAGACATTATAACTAACGAATTAAGTCTTTGCGTATCGCTTTCATTTCATTGACCTCATTCTGCACATTATGAACTGAAATAGAATGTATGAAAGATTATTATTTCACATTAGTGATTCAGTGAGTGAGGAGAAAAACTTAACTCTCACTTGAATATCTGATTTCATGTGTCTAGATGGATGATTTGTTTTCATCCAAATACTCGTATGTGAAAGAAATCAGAAAGAAGCGCTGGAAGTGGATAGGATACACACTGAGGAAAGCACTTAATTGCACCACAAGTCAAGCTGTTATGTGGAATCTTGAAGGTCAATGGAGAAGAGGAAGACGAAAGAACACATAACGCCACGTAATGAAAACAGACACCAGAAGAATGAATAACAGCTGCATAGAAGTAGAAAAGAAGACCCATGACAGTGTGTGTAGAAGAATGATGGTTGACAGCATATGCTGCATAAGATTATTAGGAGTTAGTCAGTGGGTAAATAAGTAAGCAAGAAAGCAAGTAAGTAAGTAAATACTCGTATCTAAAAATATTACTCAATTGAAATGATGAAATTTATACATAACGTGTGAACCTCCTCTAAATGTCCAAACAACATATCGTCACACGTGATGATAATCGATTAAATCTTATAAGAAAAGTTTTTACAAGCAAAAATACATAATAACTGGAAAGACAGTTGAATAAGGAAAGTTCACCTTCACACCATTGCACAAAAAAGCGCCTATCAGAACTGAGTAGCTAAATGGATAACGCGATAGCGTTTGAAGCGAACGGTACTCTTTTCGAGTCCCACACTGAACATCAACTCTGAAATGAAGATTCATACGGAAGATATGTTCCAGATGGGACGAAACGCGCATCAAACTTGATTCCACTTGTAGCCATTATTTATCTTCACTTAACTGAATGTTTGACCGGAACAAATTCATAACTCCACTATCGCAAATGTTACCAACAATTTTCCAATAATCATATCCCGAAATGTAGTATCTTATGTGTTAAAGTACGTATTATACCTGAAATAAAAGTTATTCAATATTCTAATATTCATACTTGCAAAGATTTCTAAACACAAATCATGCAGCATTTAATATACATCACACTACAAAGTGATTTTGAAATAGTGACAATCTAATCCGTTGCTAGGTCATTTCCCTAGAGAATACTATGTTAGCCATTTCCTTCAGCATCTAAAAAGTCCATCTAATAATTATCGATCAACCCAACACTCTTGAAGCAACGAGTTTATTCACAGTTCAAAATGTCCTTTGAACTACAAAAATTCTTCCGTTCAAAGTTACCTATCTAATCATTGATCAATCAATACTAAGTTCAGTATAATGGATGTTCTCATATGTAGATATTTGGTACACAGATGAATGGATAAAAGAAATTTACGTACAAGTAGTTTTGCATCATGATTGAAAACTTATAGATCAGAGGGGGTTTTGTGGAGAATTTAGTATTTTCACAATTGAAATCATGGCTCAATTGAAGCTAGACCACCATCGAAAACCTGGAAGCACTGGAAGGCCGTTTCGTCCTATTACGGGACTCCTCAGCAGTGAGCATCCACGAACCCGCACTCGTGGATTGGTTGAAGTTAGGCATTAACACCGTTGGATACCGGCCTATTCAGTGGTCTATCGGTTAAGGGCTTCAGCTCGAGACTGGTAGGTCCTGGGCTCGAACCTCGCGAGTGCGGGATCGTGGATGCGCACTGCTGAGGAGTCCCATAATAGGACGAAACGGTCGTCTAGTGACTCCAGGTTTTCGATGGTGGTCTAGCTACAATCGACTCATGATTTCAACTGTGAAAACTTATAAACATAATTATGATTTGCAATAGTGATATATTACTGATTGAGTAGTGACGTAATGATGAAGTAATAATTTCATCATTCCATAATGATTATTAGATGACCAATCAAATGATTGATCGAATAATTGGGATAAATAGAAACATAATGATGATTTGATTGAATGAACATTGAAATTAGGAATCATTCGGTTACTATAACATACAGTAAGTTCTCATGCATAAATGCGTATTAAAAAATCAATTAATATGCGAAATAAATCTCACGTTTTGGGTTCGATTTCCATAAATTCTTCTCAACAGATTCTATTTTTGTATTCAAAAGATAAAATGTATTATCAGTAAATATAAACAAAAGATCGATATTGAAGTCAGTTACATTACCATTTCATTCAATTGTCTGACATACATTTACGAAGGATATAAGTTGTCATTAAACGGTTAGAATGATTTGGTATACTGGAAAAACTCCACCAGTTCAACGCATTATCCATCCATAAATTTATATCATTTCAAATATGTTGAACATTTCTAAGACGGGAATAATTTGTCAATCTAACAAGCTTTCTAAATGATATTCCATCAAATGTAACATGATCCAACATGATTCTGTGTTAGGTATAATCCGTAGTTTACATTTATCCATATTCATACATTCACTTCAAAAACTCCATCAATTCAAACATTCTTTCGCATTCATAAACCCGATTAAAGCACGATTGATGAACGAGATAGAATGTAGTGAACTCAATTCAGAAGTAATGGTGGGTTCAATTTGAGACTTGCTAGTTAGTCGGACCTGGATCCTGGTGTCAATCTTCTTACGGTCCATCATCTTATTATCTGTTACTTTAAATACCAAATCTACTAGTCAATGAAGTTGAAAATCATCAGATATTTCACCATTTTAATACCTGATTTGTTGGTGAGAAAGCTGTAATTTGCTCGTTATCACTTTTTGGTTCACTAGTGGATGAAAATTTGTGTACTTAGACTGTACATGTATTGGTAGCATCTACTTAAGAAGTACAGTCATATTGTATAGTCACTGTGAAGTTAGAATTTAATATATTCACTGAAAGATATGTATACGAGACACTGGATTTGAAACCCACCGTAAACAATTCTATAGGTAACTCCTGTTTGAATCACTTTATTGTATAAGGTTCTAATACGTGCTTGAGTTGAAAGGAAATCAAGATGAGACAACTGTGAAGATCGTCATACAGGATACTGTTTTATTTAAAGACATCAATTAAATTTTACTATTAGTAATTTCGATATAAATGTCTCTATCGTGATACATCTCTCCACATGTGTATAACATAATGTATGAATAGCGCTATTCAGCATATACTCGTATTCGATAAACGTAATCACCAACTTTTCCATCATGCTCCATCTTCAACTGACTCATGAATTCAACTATTAGAAAGGACTATAAAATCCACAAAACCACTCTCTGGTTATTCATCAATGCTGAATCCGAATTATCATTCGGAATAAAGTATTTCATTCCGTTTCATTTAGTGATACACAACAGAGCATTGAATATGTCTACGAATTAATGGTGGTGCTTAAAAATATATTCTACATAAAGTGGAAGTAATTCGTTTCTTCGCATATTATTCAATTATGCAATTTAATCTGGTAAATGAGATTGCTTTCATGAAAATTTTGTACGGAATATTACTGACTAGTCTCATTTGTATCCGTGTTTAAACTGAATCTAAAATGATTTAGTTGACATTAGTGCTGTACTAACCGTTTAATTAAATGAAGTTTCACATTGAAGTTGGCCCAAATATACCATTAACTATTGAACTTTGTGCAAACTCGCCTGATATCTGCTAGATGATGCAATACCAATTTCTTGAAAATCATCCATTTTGAAAGTGTTTGTGACATATCCACATTGTCAAGATGCTGCACAGACAGCTTTTAGCTCCTTATCTAGTCGTACCACTTACCATCGAGAATGACAGCACTTAATGAACAATCATCATTCTCAGCTTACAAAATTGACTATGCAGACTAGGTTACGAATCAATATTATTTAATTTTGTCACACAAGTGATCTGCTTTAATGAAACTATGTTGAACATACATTTAGACAGTTTATATTCTTTTTCCAGTTGTTTCAGACTCATTTTTCTTTCAGAAAGCGACTTCCCTTTAGTAGAATGAAAATGAAATCCGATTACTAATTCAACCAACAAAAGTATTGAATAACACACAGAATCATTTGGGCAACCTGGCAAGACTATCATTTATGAAAATACTACATTGATTTGGAATAACAGGTAATGGAATTTGGCGTGTAATTCATTCATCCGTTCGGCTTAATATCGTGTTGGTAATTGAGCTGAAATCAGTTCTTGATGAAAACCCGAAATCTAATTCCTAACATTAACCGTCAACTAGAAATCATAAGGTATATTCATCAAACTAATTTGTAACCCACATTTGCCCGTGTAATGTAGATGGACATTGTCAAAGTCATTGCAAACAATAAACTGTGGAGCGCATACAAAATTTTATAGAATAATCTACAAGTTACCAATAAAACTCTTTTTCCTCTACAATACACAGTTGGAGATATAAGATAAAATCAATCAAATCATTGACGACTAGATGCATACTTATTCTCAACCTGACCTACTTGACATTTTAGAAAACGTTCGATAGCCTAATCTTTTCATAATAATGATTCAAATGTGAAATAGCATTAATCACCATCACAGAATTGATGTGTTATTTTGTGGATTTTGATTGGATTCGTTCCTTTTAGCAACCAGTCATCATTTACCATATTCTTCAGATTTCATATCATCATTGTCACAATCGATCACAAGTGTAAACCAGAAACGTTCTTAATGATGAAATTATAGTGTAGTCTCCATTGTTAAACGTTGAAAAATCATGACTACTGTTCACTGTTTAGCATTATAATAGGTTTCAAAAAAAAACTTGTAGAACTTGTACGGAACGACGAATCATACAATCACTATTTACTTGTTTACAATTTATCGATCACTGGGTGTTGATCAATGTCATGTCCTTCTTTGTACAGATCGAATCTAATGGACGACGTTGCAATGTGGCTACTGGTCTTATTGACTCAACATTGCGTGCATTATGTTGAGATGAGATGGTGATTGAAAGTAATCAACAGGGAGCCCCTTACCTAGTTTTCATGCTACGTGACACTTGTGAGCGAGGTTCGCATGAATTTGGAGGGAACTGATGCTCCTGACGGATTTCATCCCGTGTCAACCACCTTCATAATCATAGACGTTACCACTGAGCTACGACTAAACTTCTGTACAACTAAAATGCGTGAACAATTGTTTGATCACTCTGAAGTAACCAATGTCATGTATGTAAGGTCCGTCTATACTTGTATAATAGCAAATTTACTGGATGATTTCACACAGCATTCGATTAAATGTCGATGGTTAATCGCCAGAGATGACATATGGATATCTTATTAAATTTTGAATATTAAAACTTTATTCCAAAAAAAGAGATGTCAAGCACTCACCATTACTTGCTGTCAAAGATGAATTTTTAGTTGAAGCTAACATGTTCAAATATTTGTCTGCATAAGAGAAAAAACAATAACAATCAATATGAATTTGTAAGTGTATATATAAAATGTTTTTCAATTTATAAGTTCAACGGTTGGAACTATTCAAAATGTCACTTCTAGTATGACATTAAAATTACGGAGATCCTGAAAACTGTTTGAGAAAAGACTAGAATGCTTTTGAAAACACTGAGACGTATCTTATCTGATCAGCATTCAGTAAAAGTCGTGGCAGAAACACTTAGAACTTGGAAAGCCAACGACCGAATCTCCGATTGGATGATTACTGATACTGCTATTATGTTTAGTCACGTTGCACAATATTCGGAAACTCAAGGCTATTTTATATACTATAAAATGCTTAGATTTTCTGTATTTAGACAAACCATTCTAGCATCGTTTTTCTTCAATATTGAACATCTTTCCTCTCGTGTTCACATCACTGTGTATATTTAGATTATCGATTAGTAGAAGAGCTTGATAACCGCATCTAACAACCCGTTGGACGACTTATCATATTTAAATAATACTTACTAAATATGCAACGAATAAACTCGAAGATTCATGTGTTAGTCGGTTCCATATATACTTGGCTCTCCAGTTTTCCTGTGTCGGTTCTGGTGAATAATATATCGAAAAACGATAGATTGTTGTCTGGCTCCTATTCCAATGTGAACGTGTTTTCTTGAAGGACGTTGATGACCAGTTTTTAGGTGGAAGCCTCGACGAATGTCCGTTATCAGTGCATAAAATTGTCTTCAAGAAAATGAAACCATACATCTTATTGTAAAGACTACTGAACAAACAATATCATGTTAGCCCTGATACAATCTATTTTCTTATTGATCAGCACCGATATTTAGTGGAATATATATATATAATGTAAGTATATTCATTCGTAGATTTAGAGATTTATATAGTTTCTTTATTGTTCAAGTGAGCCTCATTACTGATTATGTAATTTAACAAAGATTTTCTTCTCAAACCTACTAGTTGCTAAATCGAAATTCAATCTCGCATCCCACTTAATCATTATTGCATATTCTACTGAACCATAGTCTAAAACAGATTAATGAGAAAAGAAAACATTAGTGGAATGTGGTACATTGATTATTATTACCAAATATATTTAAGTAAGCTGCAATAAAATCCAACAAGAACTAGTCAATCAGAGAGGTTCAAAGTAGGACCAGGCACATTTATTCATCGGTCAAATTTGTCGCACCACATTCGCACAACAAGATGAACACCGAATACATAGTTGTTAATTGAACAGTAGTAATATATATGAAAGATTGTGTAACAGGATATAGTAGGAGGAAAAAGAATTAGTTGGTAGAGGAAAATGTTTAAACAATTTTAATCTCACATTTTAAAGGAAGACCGGGAGTGTATTCACCAACACCATTATGATCGATTCTGAAACATGTCACATGGAGTCTCCAACCACTGAATAATATACCTATCCACATTCTCAAACATCACACATTCACATTGCACACAAACTTCACTGCCACATACATATTACCACAAACAAACAAGCACAGACGAACACCATCCTCATCAGTAAAAACAACAACAGTAAGAGTATGCTGACACATATTATCGTTGTTAGAATATAAATAAGGCTGCCTGTTTTAATCCATGACAACATTATTATAAACGTTACCATACAACTCACATAATTATCAATTTACGGTTGTCATTTACTTATCCCATTCAATGATTCATATTTGACCACATTGTTCCACATTTGAAAACAGTGACGTGTTGCTGTGACACGTTTCATCTCAAATCTTTAACATGTCGATGCCAGACATTGAAAATTTTCATAAATACATCGGACTTATGCACATAATGTATAGTAACAACGAAATTATAATATAAATATTTGTGTTTAAAACTTACAATAGTCATCGAGATTTCGACTTATTTCAGGTACTCGTTTATAATTCTCTGGTAAAAGTGGTAACATAGACATTCGTTTTAATGAACTATTCGCCAAAATATTTCATGAATACAACGAAATGCGACATTTTTTGATTATTAGTAAGCATTTCATGAAACGGGAATTCAATTTATACAGTCACCACTAGATCTCTGCCACAACCAGATGGTGATCGGATGTTTTTTCAGCTTCTCTCCCGGTTCTCACGTCTTCCGTTTGCTTTCTGAACTCTTCAGTGATAAAAGTGTGAACGATTTCGCTCCAGTGAGACCCATACAGATTTATGTCGCATAACATTTAGATAATATTCATTGTAATTCCCTCGTTCTTTGTTTTCAAACATACAGTGATGATTCTGGATCGATGAGATTCCCATCCTATTGATGCTTTTCGTGCTTCATTGGATGGTATCAGAGCAACTGACTGTGTGTGTATTGCATTTTAGTCTTCGTAATTGCAATACAGAAGTATATACCCCAATCTAATAATTCTGGTCTACAATAAGTGTAACGAGTTCCACTTCTCATTACCACAGCAATTAGACCGGCCCTCCTAGTCTGATAAATTGTCTGGACGTTCCATGTATCAATAATAATTGTTGTTCTGATTGCTGGAAGTAACACAGCCTGCGTGAAATCCGAAGAACCTAGGATCTCATCATGAGGCGTCATAATTGTTCTTCAAATACGAAAGACAAATTTTAAATGACTTCATCATTTTTTTTGGTTGACCTTCTTAGGAGAAAACCTATTTCTTCGAGAATGGAACTACTGACATCATGACCATCACTCCTCCTTTACATTACCTTTGAAACAGCAATGACCCCAGAACAACTACAAGCCGGGTTATTCCTAGCTTAACTATAAAATAGTATTAAAATTTGAGTTCTGTAGAATTAACATTAATCCTCAATATTACACGGTATATGTTGATGTGATACAGTTCCATGAATTGGGCACACATCTACCTCAGTGGATACACCGACGCTAACATTTACTTCATTCTACCTATCTCCAATTATCTATTTGATAAAACAGTGGACAAACTGTGAATCAGTGAATGTGAGTGACAGAATATTGCAAAATGAAATTTCATTTGTCACCGGTATTCACTTGTTATAAATACGAAATACATACAAAATGTACCGACCCACCAGAGTACGTCTGCAGTAAATCACGATCATTTGGAATGATATCTGTAATTAATAAAAAGTACTCGAGTATTAGTCTTCAGATCTGAAGTGGTGTTGTACTTCAGTAAAATATTACTCAATCATTCTATAGCACTAATTTTAATGTGTTTAACAGTTGTAATTCATCTCAAGAATCAAGCCATATTACATGTTTGCTAGCTTCTACACAGTGCATTTAAAATATAATCCATTTACAAATTGTTTGTTCAAACGCAAACATGACATTTTGTATGGTATTATTGGTAAAGTCATATGCTTGTTTTCATTTATTTATTCCCCGCTATTTTGCGAACCAAGCAGTTCAAGTGCTGTTGCGAAAACATACAGTTCTTAAGGTTCGTTCTTAGAACGATCACCTTACTTGGAACAGAGACAACTGACCAAGTATCTCCAACCAACTCTGTCTTCGTAGCGTCTCTTCAGCTTATGCTAATTACTACTCATCACTCTTATTCATGATTCCTTGTTGACTGATTAACATTCACAAACGATGAAAGGTTATTCTTTCTCGTCGAAAGATTTAGAGCACATTTATTGACATTTAACAAATAGCAATCACCTAATAATGATGGTTGTCAAAATGGACAAGTTTGAGTTCCATACGATAATTTAATACAGAACAAAGTGACAGTTCTTCTGAACTTCTCGTCTTCCCTTGTCCAAACTGTGCTGAATCAGTTACACTCACTGCAGACAATGCCTGACTGTCAGTTATCAATTGCATTGTTATCCAAATATCATTCCCTGTCTCCCACCTAGACCACTAATTCTATTCACTTCAACTCCCAAGACACAGTTTTATTAGTTTAAATTACATGTTGAGCGAAGTTGTTAGTGAGTTGTTATTAGGTATATTTTATTAAATATTGAGAATAGATAAATACATATCTATACATGTAAACCTACTTTTGAAGAGATCTAAAATCCATTTAGCTGCATACTTATTTTCTAGCCTAATTATTCCTAATAAACCCAAAAACAGTACAACAATATCAACAATATGTGACGAACGGATGAAAATCGAAGGCAGTTTTTCGGCATGTTGATATGCATTTTTATTTGTTACTCAGCATGCCGAATGAAAATGTGAAAGCTGAAAAGAAACCTGTTTATCGTTCAAATACGGTATCTGGACTAAATATTAAACACTGAAGAATGTGACATAGAACAATATTATAATACTTTTATTATCATACAACAGAACGTTCTTAGTATGTGCTTGCCTACATTATTATGTTTTTAATTGTGATCGTGAACAGATTGATGTTAGACTACCACTGAAAACCTCGGAGCCGTGAACGACTGTACCGTCCAATTTCGGCACTCCACAGCAGTGATCATCCACTACCCCAGTCACGGGATTCTGAACCAAGGCCTTCGGTCTCCGTGCAAACACTTGACTTCTAGACAACTGAGCCGGCATCTAAAGGTGTTAGTGTATAACCTCAATCAATGGGACGAAACGACCATCCAGTTCTTTTAGGCTTTCAATGGTAGTGTGATATCAATCCGTTCATGATCCCAAAAAAGTAGAACGTCTTAATGTTTCTGTGCAGAATAATAAAAATGATGAAAAAACTATTATGAGTCATCAGTTACGTACTAAGCTTCAAAATTGTTTTTAGATAACAATATATAACTCACCGTCTCGGAATTGTTTTTCAGTAGTGTTCGTCGCATATAAAACTAGTTCCTCTATATAAACTTATTAACAAAAAAATACCGGAAGGGGTTTTCGTAGATATTAGAGTAATTTTGATAATTGAGATCATGAGTCAATTGAAGCTCGACTGCGCAGTGCTGAGGAGACCTGGAATTCGGCTGTCCAGTGGCTCCAGATTTGCCCTGGTGGTCTAGCTTCAATTCACTGATACTCTCAACTAATATGAAGAAATTACGATGATTTCACATTATTAGCTTATGTATATACACTGATATGCTAACTTGAATACTTACCTCTCAATAAAACTTATCTAAACTTTTTGAGATACTTACTTTTTTCCCTTTCAACGGTTTTAATTGCTTCGGTGTACTTATTTAGTTTGAAGTATGCATCTATATCGTATGAAGAATATGTTATGTAATAGACATTTTTGAATTAGGAAGTTAAATTTCAAATGTATGTATACATTTCATCAATGAATAGCTGCTCTGGAACTACCGGTGGATAATGTGAATGGTAGCCGAAGTGAATATATATATATATATTTATAAATTTGTAGATATGTGCCCAACTTATGGAACAGTATCACTTCAACACATACAGTGTAATATTGAGGATTGATGTTGATTGTACACAACTGAAATTTCTATACTATTTTGAGGTTAAACTAAGAATAACACTGCATGTGGTTATTTGACGGTCACTGTTGTTATAAAGTCAATGTATATATCATCTAGCTACATATCAGATGTCTCATGTATACCGTGCTTCCCTCCACATGTCGACGTCTTCTTAGTCCAATCGATCATCATATTGCTCATCAAATTATAAATGTATCTCAACTGTCGAAATTTGTAAAAGTACAACTTGAGTATATTCAAATATCAGTAACTAATGAATGTTTCATTCATTTTAAGCATGAGTTTACCAAAACATTCAAGATTATTGGTTATCTTACCTTCGAGTTCTAAACTCGTATTATCTGCTGTTACCAGATATTGTACTCCTAAAAGTTGAAAATCAATCGATATTACCATGCAACATAAATTTATTAATATAAATGGAAAGAAGAACGAGAAAAATCAATGCAAAGTAAACAATGACCTGTTACCGATGATTTTCTAGTTAAATTGTGAACAATCAATTGATATTTGACTGATCCAGCTACCATTTACTTATCATCATCATCATCATCATCACCATCGTCAATCTTTCGATAAATAGTCATTGATAATGTAATCTGATTTCGAATGTTTTCAAGTCTGTATTATAGAAGTAAACTGATTCATTCATTCTATATTAAATATAATGAATAGTTTGATAAGTATCTTGACAACCGTCATCTGAAAACTGAGACATCTGTCAGTTCACCATTGTGCTTACTTATAATAATATATATATTAACAATGTTTGATTCATAAAGTATTTCAACTAATTTTCACCAGTGCAATCCAACATCATGCATATTTCGTCCTAGATGATACTCGTCAGTTGGATATATATATTCACATCTCAGAGTTGATATTCATTCTGGAACTCATATTCAGTATCGATCTCTTCAAACATCATCACATGATGCACTTAGTTATAGTTATAAATTGTGTAAGTGTATCATCAGCATTGATTAGAGTTTAGGGCAGAAACTATGACCCATATTATACAATGGAATCCAAAGTAAAAGTTAATGTTGTTCACTTACCAAGAATATATATAGTAAGAACCAATGCTTGCACAAAACAGGTTTTCATTTGTGTTTTCGAAACAATCTTTTCACAACTTGTAGTTTCACCGTAATTTATACATATTTATATATATATAGCAAACGTGTATAACCGGAGATGAGAAAATAAATCAGTGTGAATTGTAGAACGAATGCTATTCTTATGTTTCTCAAGTAGTTTAACCTGAAACATTATTGTTGAGAAACACAAGAAAATTAGTTACCAATTAATATTTCCAGATATATGTTTAAAATGAATCAAGGGTTGGTTGCTAAGGCTATTAATATTATGTCTTAAACATTCAAAAGTACTCGAGTATTAATCTTCAGATCTGAAGTGGTGTTGTACTTAAGTGAAATATTACTCAATCATTCTATAGCACTAATTTTAATGTGTTTAACAATTGTAATTCATCTCAAGAATCAAGTCATATAACATGTTTGCAAGCTTCTACACAGTGAATTTAAAATATAATCCATTTATGAATCGTTTGCATATCAACATGCCGAAAAACTGTCTTCAATTTTCATCTGTTCGTCACATCATTTGTCTTTTAATATGGTGGTCCAGATATTCTACTACTTCTCCTCAAGCTGTCTACTCTCTCTGTGGAATCGGGTTATTACACTGACTGTTGGAAAATCGCGTACATGATGGCAGTTTACGAATCTGGAGATAATACTGACATGAACATCTACTCAGATATAGGCCTACTGCCGTCTTTCCATGGAAACAGTAAACAATGGATCAAAACACTGCCTGCCATCAGTGGTCGAAAACATAATAATATTTCAGACCATTCAGTTTGTGGTTATTTCAGAAACTTGACATGAAACCGTTAATCTATGTGAAATGTTACAAAATACCCATGAAATGTATTCATGAGCAAAGGAGAGTAACCTGTTGAAAATTGTGTATCACGTTATGATATTCAGTGAGAGTTTGTAGTCTACCATTTTTGGAGTCATGAGAAAGCATTTGGATTTCTCTGTTGCAAAATGCTTAATCTGAATGGAGTGCTTGAATAAAACAGTCAACCATAAGTTTATTGATTGATATCCGGATTGTGATAAGATGTGACATCCAGAACACCAATTTCATCATACGAATGAGTCGTCAGTTAATTGTAGGATAAAGTGTACTTAGCACCCTGATTGTCAAATCGGTAATGGATATCCTCAATGATTGTACTAATTCAAATTGTATAACTATTTGTGAAATTCTCCTCTATAATGAATACCAACAATAATGTATAATGATTAATGAAATATTTGAATAGTATTTGGTGTTAAGTGGTAAATGCTGCTGTTTTACTTATGTAGACGATCTCACAAGTTAACGATTCAAATACACCAAAACCCATCAAACATATTGAAACAACATCGGGTGTCACTGAAGTTCAGGTTGCAGAAAACCTTAGGGAAACGTCCAAAGAAACTGCTCAACACTCGGTAAATACTTGATGTTTAGTAATATATGTTACGTCATTATTTTTCTTTAGAATATAACTACCGAAACAATCGAAGGCAATAAACATAAGAAATCACCTCGGTACTTGTACATTGTGATTCCTCTGACCATCTGTTTACTTCTTATACGTATCGGCTTCCTATCTGGAACGAGGAATAGTAAGTGATTATCAGAAATATATTATAACCTGCTTTTGTTATTCTGTCCAACTTGCTCCCAATTCTTATGGAATTAGAAAACTTCAGATTTAATAATTAATCTTAGTAATTTGGACAATTTCTTTATGGAACTATGAATATTCTAATGCTTGTTTACGTAATAACTGATGTATTCCTGTTGATAAAATTAAAAACACGGTTTTTATTGTTTGCTTAATTGTGTTCTTTTAATCGAAAACGACTTGTTTAACGAGAGTTCCACATTTTATTTTTAAATGAGTAGTGTGTGTAAACGTGATTTCCTAATCAATATAATCAATAATTAGTCCATTGTGAATATTCATCTCAATGACTTTCCACTACTGGGAATTATAATTTGGAATTAGGTACAGTTAATGTTTTATACTGGACTGACATAATACACTCTCAATAAACACAATAAAGCTTCAAACAAGATCACGATGTTTTGAACAAACAGTTGATAGTTACGTATGTGAAAAGATAACAAATCAGCATTGCACATTGAATTCCAGGTTTACAAGGAACACATACTCCTCAGTTGGAGCTGAAGAAGTTTTCAGTCAACTTTATCATTCTGAAGTGCGCTGTAAAGATGATTTAAAAAATGTTAGTCCACAGATTCCTAAAGATAAACTGCAATCAGATTCGAAAAAAGTTGCCATTCTTTATGGTCTACTGAAACAATTTGGTTTATGTGGTTCGCCAGACATCATTAAGAAAGAGATGAAGAGCACAGTCAGTCAACTGACAGTAGATTAGTTATGCAAATATCATTTAGGTATCAGCGTTTAGTATGAAATATTGTTTGACCACAGACTTATTGCTGTCTTGCTTCATCCGCATGTGATAAAATATGTACATTCACTGTATTTGAACTCAAAATACCAGAACGTTTTGTTGACATTTGACTTTTTTTTAACTAAAATAATGCGAGTAGCTCCGTTTATAAGTTTACCATTTTTAATTCAATTTTCTTTTCAGTTTTTATGTATGTTTGCTTGATTAAATTTTTCTTATAAGCTTAAATCTGCTTGAATCTTGTGCGATGATATTTTCTTTAGGCATCTTAAGGAGGTTCACACTTTATGTAAAAATTTCATCATTTGAACTGAGTAATACTTTTAGATACCAATAACTACATAACCACTTGCTTTCTTATTTACTTGTTATTTATTCTTCCCATATCTGTTTTCATTACGCGGCGTTATGTGTTCGTTCGTCATCCTCTTCTCCATTGACCTTCAAGATTCCACGTAACAGCTTGACTTGTGATGAAATTAAGTGCTTTCCTCAGTATGTATCCTATCTACTTCCAGAGCTTCTTTCTGATTTCTTACACACACGAGTATTTGGATTAAAACAAATCATCCATCTAGACACATGAAATCAGATATTCAAGTGAGAGTTAAGTTTTTCTCCTCACTCACTGAATCACTAATGTGAAATAATAATCTTTCATTAATTCTATTTCAGTTCATAATGTGCAGAATGAGGTCAATGAAATGAAAGCGATACGCAAAGACTTAATCCGTTAGTTATAATGTCTTTAAATGCATTCACGTTTGAATAATGTAATAGTGTAATATTTGAATTCATGAGTCACTTGAAGTTGAAACACCAGGGGAAATCTCGCAGCACTGGAAGGCTGTTTCATCTTAGTACAAGACTTCTCGTCTGTGCATATTCACGATCTCACCACGCGAGATTGGAATACATTATTACATTATTAATGAAATAGATATTACATATGATGTAATAATAAACTATCAAGTCTAACCTTGGTGTTGAAAACATATGATGCGAATTTCAATAATATGTGCGACTGATCTAGTTGTTTATATGAGGAATAAGGTTAGTTTAATTGGAATTAATGATAACTATTCAATGTATTACATATTAGTCTGGTGAGTATCCATCTGCTATCATTATTTTAGGGGATTTAGTACAAACTGAAAAAGCAGCTAGAAACACATCAGGTATGTTGAAAATTAGCCAAATATCTTCATACAATTACATTCATTTAAACAACTGCTTTATGTCTGAATATGTTAACATTTATTCTTTGTTTATTAGATTCAAAGAAACGAGGTATTTTAGAACGTGAAGTAGAAGATCTTATAAATGGAATAAATGCCTTGGAAGGTGAATACTGATTTTATTAGATGATTGGTTATCATATTATTGTTTAACACTCTATTTATCATATATGCATAGTGAGTTCATGTAAGAAAGGAAAAGAATCATCCAATTTGTTGAATTGAATAAATATTGAACCGACACTGCAAGCCTGAAAGCATTGAACATTCTTCTAGCAACAGTATGGTACTCCCGCGTTTTATGGGAGAGGACAAATCAGCTTCCAGCTGAAGAGGAAATTAGGAAAAGACGTTGGAAGTGGATCGTACATACATTGAGGAAATCACCAATGTGCATCACGACTCAATCCCTAACTTGGAATCCGGAAGGGAAGCGGAAGAGTGGAAGGCCAAAGAACACACTACGCCGGGAAATAGAAGCCGATATGAAAAGGATGAATTGCAACTGGAAAGAACTGGAAAGGAAGGCTCAGGACAGAGTTGGATGGAGAATGCTGGTGAGCGGCCCATGCTCCTCGACGAGGGGTAACAGGCGTAAGTAAGTAAGAAAGTAAGTAAGTAATGGTACTCCCGCGTGTGGGATCGTAGATGCGCAATACTGAGGAGTTTCGTAGTGGGATGAAAAGAGCGTTCAGATTTTCAATGTTTTTAATGTTTGTCTAACATTCATGCATATAATGACACCAATTGAAATTCAACAACCTTACAAATTTCATTCTTTTACACTGTACGGCACATCTGAATATATATCACATTAGAGAAATTAGAAAATTCTCAGAAGAATTTCAATGAAGTCCTTGATAACTTACGTTTTGGTAAGTAATAATTATTGAATTGAGAAGGAAATAATTTTTTATTCGACAAGACTATAATTTCTGAAAGAAGAAATCACCTACAATATAACAGGTCTCGTATTTCGGAGTGATGTTCACTCATACATTTGGCTAAGTAAAGTTTTGACATAATAGATTATTTTGATGATAAAAGTCTACGTAAACTTTGTGCTGATTATATCAATCAGTAGAACGATGAAAGATCCACAAAAAAGACATCCAGCTCAGAGAAACAAACTGCATCAAGACGATCGACATCAGATGCGAATCACCATCTCATTAAATCTGTAGACAGTTGCTGATGAAAACCCGAAACCTAATTTCAACTGTAAATCATAATTGTAAATTCTGACACAAGTGTATAACCGTAATTTGATCCTAGTTATTAGATGGACACTCTCAGGGTTAGTCTAGCGTTTCTCAAAGGTTGTCCATAAATTATTGTCTCACCGAGCAATATAACAAGCATCATAATAATCTGTGT